TGCTATGAGTCTGATGGGCTTCCCTTTGTGGGTAACCCGACCTTTCTCTCTGGCTGCCCTTAGTATTTTCTCTTTCATTTCAACCCTGGTGAATCTGATGATTATGTGCCTTGGGGTTGCTCTTCTTGATGAATATCTTTGTGGTGTTCTCTGTATTTCCTGGACTTGAATATTTGCCTGCCTTGCTAGGCTGGGGAAGTTTTCCTGGATAATATCCTGAAGAGTATTTTCCAGCTTGGATTCATTCTCTTCATTGACAAGAAGAGCTAACGATCCTAAATATATATGCACCAAATACAGGAGCACCCAGATACATAAGGCAAGTTCTTAATGACTTACAAAGAGACTTAGACTCCCACACAATTGTAGTGGGAGACTTTAACACGCCATTGTCAATATTAGACAGATCAACCAGACAGAAAATTAACAAGGATATCCAGGACTTGAACTCAGACCTGAAACAAGCAAACCTAATAGACATTTACAGAACTCTCCACCCCAAATCCACAGAATATACATTCTTCTCAGCACCACATCACACCTACTCTAAAATTGACCACATAATTGGGAGTAAATCACTCCTCAGCAAATGTAAAATAACGGAAATCGTAACAAACAGTATCTCAGACCACAGTGCAATCAAGTTAGAACTCAGAATTCAAAAACTAACCCAGAACTGCACAGCTTCATGGAAACTGAACAACTTGCTCTTGAATGTTGACTGGATAAACAATGAAATGAAGACAGAAATAAAGATGTTCTTTGAAACCAATGAGAATGTAGACATAACATACCAGAATTTCTGGGACACATTTAAAGCAGTCTCTAGAGGAAAATATGTAGCAATAAGTGCCCACATGAGAAGCAAGGAGAGATCAAAAATTGACACCCTATCGTCAAAACTGAAAGAGCTAGAGGAGCAAGATCAAAAATACTCAAAGTCTAGCAGAAGACAAGAAATAGCTAAGATCAGAGCAGAACTGAAGGAGATAAAGACACAAAAAACCCTTCAAAAAATCAATAAATCCAGGAGATGTTTTTTTGAAAAAATCAACAAAATAGACAGACCACTAGCCAGATTAATAAACAAGAAAAGAGAGAATAACCAAATTGATGCAATAAAAACGATAAAGGGGATATCACCACAGATTCCACAGAAATTCAAACCATCATCAGAGATTATTGCAAACAACTCTATGCACAAAAAATAGTAAACCTGGAAGAAATGGATAAATTCCTGGACACTTGCTTGCTTCCAAGCCTCAACCAGGAAGAAGCCGAAACCCTGAACAGACCCATAACAAGGTCTGAAGTGGAAGCAGCAATTAAGAGCTTACCACCCAAAAAAAGCCCAGGTCCAGATGGGTTCACACCCAAATTCTAACAGACATACAAAGAGGAGCTGGTACCATTCCTTCTGAAACTATTCCAAACAATACAAAAAGAGTGAATTCTTCCCAAATCATTTTATGAGACCAACATCATCTTGATTCCAAAACCCGGCAGAGACTCAACAAGAAAAGAAAACTTCAGGCCAATATCCATGATGAACATAGACGCAAAAATCTTCAATAAAATACTGACAAGCCAATTGCAACAGCACATCAAAAAGCATCCACCACGATCAAGTAGGCTTCATCCCAGGGATGCAAGCCTGGTTCAATACATGCAAGTCTATAAACGTAATTCACCACATAAACAGAACCAACGACAGAAACCACATGATTATCTCAATTGATGCAGAGAAGGACTTTGACAAAATTCAACAGGCCTTTATGTTAAAAACTCTCAATAAGCTAGGTATTGACGGAACATATCTCAAAATAATAAAAGCTATTTCCTGCAAACCAACAGCCAATATCATAATGAATGGGCAAAAACTGGAAGCATTCCCCTTGAAATCTGGCACCAGACAAGGATGCCCGCTCTCACCACTGCTGTTCAATATAGTATTAGAAGTTCTAACCAGAGCAATCAGGCAAGAAAAAGAAATAAAGGGCATTCAAATAGGAAAGGGGGAAGTCAAATTGTCTCTATTTGCAGACAACATGATTGTATATCTAGAAGACCCCATCGTCTCAGCCCCAAATCTCCTGAAACTGATAAACAACTTCAGCAAAGTCTCAGGATACAAATCAATGTGCAAAAATCACATGCATTCCTATACACCAATAACAGACTAAAAGAGAGCCAAATCAAGAACAAACTTCCATTCACAATTGCCACAAAGAGAATAAAATACCTAGGAATACAACTAACAAGGAACATAAAGGACCTCTTCAAGGAGAACTACAAGCCACTGCTCAACGAAATAAGAGAGGACACAAACAGATGGAGAAACATTCCATGTTCATGGTTAGGAAGAATCAATATCGTGAAAATGGCCATACTGCCCAAAGTAATTTACAGATTCAATGCTATCCCCATCAAGCTACCAATGACCTTCTTCACAGAACTGGAAAAAAAAACACATTAAACTTCATATGGAACCAAAAGAGAGCCCACATAGCCAAGCCAATTCTAAGCAAAAAGAACAAAGCAGGAGGCATCACACTACCGGACCTCAAACTATACTACAAGTCTACAGTAATCAAAACAGCATGGTACTGGTACCAAAACAGAGATATAGACCAATGAAACAGAACAGAGGTCTCGGAGGCAATGCAACATATCTGAAACCATCTGATCTTTGACAAACCTGACAAAAACAAGCAATGGGGAAAGAATGCCCTGTTTAATAAATGGTGTTGGGAAAACTGGCTAGCCATGTGCAGAAAGCAGATACTGGGCCCCTTCCTGACACCTTACACTAAAATTAACTCCAGATGGATTAAAGACAAACATAAGATGTAACACCATAAAAACCCTAGAAGAAAATTAAGGCAAAACCATTCAGGACATAGGTGTAGGCAAAGACTTCATGACTAAAACACCAAAAGCATTGACAGCAAAAGCCAAAATAGACAAACGGGACCTAATCAAACTCCACAGCTTCTGCACAGCAAAAGAAGCAGTCATTAGAGTGAATCGGCAACCAACAGAACGGGAAAAAATTTTTGCAGGTTACCCATCTGACAAAGGACTGATATCCAGAATTTACAAAGAACTAAAACAGATTTACAAGAAAAAAAACTAACAAGCCCATTCAAAAGTCGGCAAAGGATATGAACAGATACTTTACAAAAGAAGACATACATGAGGCCAACAAACATACGAAAAAATGCTCATCATCACTGGTCATCAGAGAAATGCAAATCACAACAACATTGAGATACCATCTCATGCCAGTTAGAATGGCGATCATCAAAAAATCTGGAGACAACAGGTGCTGGAGAGGATGTGGAGAAATAGGAACACTTTTACACTGTTGGTGGGAGTGTAAATTAGTTCAACCATTGTGGAAGACAGTGTGGCGATTCCTCAAGGACCTAGAAATAGAAATTCCATTTAACCCAGCAATCCCATTACTGGGTATATATCCAAAGGATTATAAATCGTTCTACTATAAGGACACGTGCACATGAATGTTCATTGTAGCACTGTTTACAATAGCAAAGGCCTGGAACCAACCCAAATGCCCATCGATGATAGTCTGGACAGGGAAAATGTAGCACATATACACCATGGAATATCATGCAGCCATCAAAAACGATGAGTTTGCATCCTTTGTAGGGACATAGATGAACCTGGAAACCATCATTCTCAGCAAACTGACAGAAGAGCAGAAGATCAAACACCACATGTTCTCACTCATAGGCGGGTGTTGAACAATGAGAACACATGGACACAGGGAGGGGAGCACGACACAGTGGGGTCAGTTGGGGGGAAATAAGGGAGGGATGGTGGAGGGTGGGGAGCTGGGGAGAGATAGCAAGGGGATAGATGCCAGATGTAGGTGATGGGGAGGAAGGCAGCAAATCACACTGCTGCATGTGTACCTATGCAACAATCTTGCATGTTCTTCACATGTACCCCAAAACCTAAAATGCAATAAAATAAATAAATGAGAAAAAAAAATATTCATCTGGTTGATTTTATTCTCATTTTAAAATTATTTCAATACTTTTTAGGGAACAGGTGGTGTTTGATTAGATGGATAAGTTCTTTAGTTGTGATTTCTGAAATTTTGGTACACTCATCACCTGAGCAGTGTACAGAGCACCCAGTGTATGGTCTGTTATCCCTCTCCCCACTCCAACTGTTCCCTGAGTCCTGAGAGTCGTTTTTATTATTCTTATGTCTTTGTATTTTCATAGCTTGGCTCCCACTTATAATTGACAAGATTCAAGTTTTGGTTATGTAAGCCTGAATTACTTCATTTAGAATAATGGTGTCCAACTCCATCCAGGTTGCTATTAATAGCTTTATTTTGTTCTGTATTATGACTGAGTAGTATTCCATGGGGTGTGTGTGTGTGTGTGTGTATTACATTTTCTTTATCCATTGGTTGAAGGACATTTGGGTTTGTTCCATATTTTTATGATTGGGATTTGTACTGCTATAAAATGTGTGTGCATAAATCTTTGCATATAATGGCTTCTTTTTCTCTGGGTAGATACCCAATAGTAGAATAACTGGGTCAAAATGTAGATCTACTGTTAGTTTTCTAAGGAATCTCCTTACTGTTTTCTACAATGATTATAGTAGCTTATAGTCTCACCAGCAGTGTAAAAGTGCTCCCTTTTACCAAATCCATGCCAAGACTGTAATATTTTTTGGATTTTTAAATGATGTTCATTCTTAAAGGTGGACGGTGGTATTCAATTTTGGTTTTGATTTGGATTTCCCTGATGATTACTGATGTTGAGCATTTTTTTATGTTCATTGGCCATTTGTAATTTTCTTTTGAGAATTGTCCATTCATGATCTTAGCCTACTTTTTGATGGTATTATTTGTTTTTATCTTGTTGTTTTGTTTGAACTCTGTGTAGATTCTGGATTTTAATCCTATAACAGATGCATAGTTTGTGAATATTTTCTCCCACTTTGTGAGTTGTCTGTTTACTCAGCTGATTATTTCTTCTTCTGTGCAGAAGCTTTCTCCACTCTATGTTTTTGTTTGCTTTGCCAAAGAGCAGTTGGCTGTAAGTATTTGACTTTATTTCTGGATTCTCTATTCTGTTCCATTGGTCTACATGCCTGTTTTTATACCAGTGTCATCCTGTTTCAGTAGCTACAGACTTGTAGTAGTTTGAAGTGAGGTAATCTGATACCTTCAGATTTATTATTTTTGCTTAGTCTTGCTTTAGCTGTGCAGGCTTCAAGCTGAGAATCAAATCAAGAATTCATCCTTTTTTACAACAGCTGAATCAAAAAGAAAAAAAAAGCATAAAATACTTAGGAATATATTCCATGAAGTAGGTGAAACGCCTCTGCTAGGAAAACTACAAAATATTGCCAAAAATAAGAAAAAAAAAACAGAACTAAAATAACATTAATAACGGAGTGCTTATGGCATGAAAAGAAAAAAAGTCAACAAAAAATCCTATGTTCTACAAAATTATCTTTCAAAAGGTAAAATAAAGACTTTCCTAAACAAACAAAAAATAGAACTTATTGCTAAGTAATCTGTCTGCCTTACAAAATTTCCAAAGAAATTTTCCAGGCTGAGTAAATAAACACAGAAAAAAATTTAATCCACATAAAAAAAGGAGCACCTGAAAAAATAATTATGGAAATTAACAAATTGTATAAATACATGTTTATTCAACTTCCCTCAACAAATTTGAGAAGTATGTAAAGCAGATATATAGTTATATTGTTGGGCATTTAACATATACATATGTAATACATTAGCCAATAATAGCACTAAGGTGGTATATAGAGGCAAAACTGTATTGGAGCAAGAAATAATACCAAATGATAACTTGAATTTATAAGAACAAAAAAATGATAAACAAAAACCTATATAATCAATGATATAGGTATATATTTGCTCTTAATTTTTTTTTCACTTCTCAAAAGATGTGACATTATATAATGTAGTAACAATGTTATTTTGGTTTGTAAATGTGATATATACATTTAAGTGTAATAAATACAAAAGAAACAGCACACAACAGAAGAGGAAATAAAGATTTGTATGAGATGTCAATATTTAAAAATAATAACAAATTGAGTAACAAATACATTAATAATAAACAATGTATTCTTATAAGTCAAAGTTGAAATTAAAAAAAAAAAAACCTTTGGTAAAAGTTGAAGAATACAAAAACCAAAAAAGATACAAAAAGTTGTGAAAAAGGAGTTATTAAGGGGAAAATTTACACCTGTAGAAAAAAAAAATCCAAAGCTAGCAGGAAAAAAGAAAATATGAATTAGTGCCAAAATAACCAGACTGAAGAATAAGGAATCCAGAAATATAGCCAAACATAGGGTCAACTACTCTTTGACAGGAATGTTAAAGCTATGCAGTTGAGAAAGAAGAATCTCTTTAGCAAATACCAGTGGGTAAACTAATTAGCCTTATACAAATGAATAAAATTGGACCTCTGTCCTCAAATAATGTACAAAAATAAACCCAAAATAGATGAAACACTGAAATGTAAGATCTAGAAATATAAAATTCATAGCAGGAAGAATTTGGGTATAACATTATAACCTTGAATCTGGTAAGGTTTTAGCTATAACACCAGCAGCAGAAGCAACCAAAATAATATTGATAAATTGGATTTTAAAAATTAAAATATTTTCACATCAAAGAACACCATCAATAAAGTCAAAAGAGAAACCAGAGTTTGAAATATATATTTGCAAGTTACATACCTGATAAATGACCTGTATAAAAAATATATAAAGAATGCTTACAGCTCAATGTTAAAAAGACAACCTAATCAAAAAATGTTTAAAAGATCTAAACAGAAATTTTACCAAAGAATATGTAAATGTCCACTAAGAACATAAAACAAATGTTTTATGTTGGATTATACAGTTGAGAGAAATACATAATGTCTTCCCAATGACCAGTGACTTTTCCTTAGTGATCATAGTCAGGGAAATCAATGTCACGACTAAACTAACATAATTGTTCAGAAAAATCACCTAGAATGTACACAAGTTATTTAGCAGAATTATAACAATATAAAATTCAAGATAAATAAATAGTGGTAGTATTCTTAAGAATCCATGTTAATTATTAAAATATTTTAATAAAGAGTCTGGTTCACATATTTTTTAACACTATCTCTCCCCATTAGTGTGTAAAGATGCTATTTTAATTCTTATCATACATACTCAGTCAAATACACACACAGGCACATTGCATGACTATGCATTAATAATAGAGGAAATTTATTTTGTAGCACATAATTCCTTCTGAAGGAACTTAATGATGAGGTTTCTTTAAAAATTTGACACTACTAATATGTGACATTGGTCACGTTGGGGTACCACCTGTGGGAGTCTGTCCTGCAGACCTTGCTTCTACAATAGATGAATAAATACACTCAAACACAGAGTACAGTGAAAGAGTGGACTAGGTGTCATGTACTTCCCGAAGAGTAAAATTGCAGCAACACAACCCCCACTAGTTCTCCTTCCTCACATTTATTCAGTATAGATTTCACAACAAAGGCTTTGAGTAAATACACTTGTGGATAATTAACATGGTTAAGAGAGCAGTCCTTTGAAAGATTAAAGCTTGGGTGCAGGTGCCCAGAGCAAACACCATTAAAGGATAATCTCCCTGGTCAACCTCCCCTACTCCCCACCCCAGAGGGCCATCTGGCTCAAAGATTACATGAGTAAAAAAGCTAGTTAGAGTAGAAACAAAGGAATGTGGGGAGTTTATCTTATCTAATTAAAGGGACAAAGCTGATTTCAGCCAAGTAATAGAAAACTCTTTGGCCTTCCAAAAGGGTTTGTGACTATATTCTATAAATTTCCTTTAATATTTCTGCCACCACCCTGAGTGAACCCCAACATATACCCGTTCTATGCTTTTACTATCAGGCTCTGTTGACTGATAGGCACCAATGCACTCAGTCATGGGTCTGTCAGGTGAGGCAGTCATTGCTCTTATTCTGGCTTTGCATCCTAGAATTAACAAATAACATAAGGCAATTATGAGTACAGTAGGAAACATTCTTTTCAAGTCTCAGCTCCCAGGAACAGGGGTCTAACCAGGAGAGATGATTTACACACCTTTTCATATGGCTGTTTGTTGTTGGATGTGTGGTTCTATAGTGTGAAGGGATTTTAAAATTTTGGTTTTAAGTTGCTTTACATCTGCAGTTGAATTGTAATAAAAAGTTCCCCAGAAGTCTTGTTTCACCTCATCCCAACTATGTATTGAATGATTCCATGGTAGAGAAGTGACACAGATATGTTTGTGTTTCCAGTCACAGATTAATTGCTATTGGAATGCCAGTGCATCCTGTCCCTCCCCCACATATTCCACAGCAGCCTTGAGGGCTTGCAGATGTGCAAAAACTTTTTGATGTATACCTTGCTGTAAGAGAAGTTCGTTAGACGTATTTTTGCCCAGATTATTACAAAAGCAGCTGTTTGTACTGACTCGCTAATAGATGCCACTGCAACACTGGCAGTTGCTAGGATGGCTATGGCTGAGACTATAACGGCTATGAGTGCAACTATGAATCTTTTGTGTCTGACTTGAAGCAGAGCACATTCTAAGGTGACAAGGGTAGAGGAACCTTGCCAATAGTGTGTTAAATTGAGTGGTAGGAATGCCTCAGATTGTCTTCTTAATACCATGACACTAGCACTTTTTAAATTAGATATGTAGTGACTAGTGATACATGAGGCAAACCAAGCCTATCCCTGCACCCAGATCACAAATGTGGAGTTTTGGGGTGCAATGGAAATGTTAGTTCCCTTAAGGAAAACATATGGATCAGGCACTGATCCATGTGATTATGAATAAAGGTTATAGTTTAGTTGCAACTGGAATTATGATATGTCGCATGGCAGGTGTTAAGGAAGGTACTAAAATATCCCAAGCACCATGAGGTGCCTTGGGTGGCATGGATTTTACTCAGGGTCTGGGATATTCCATCCCCTCATTAGCCCAAATTATAGGGGAACAAGATGTGGTTATGAAACTGTGATTGATGCTATAGTGGATGAAGACATTACAAGGCTGCCCTGCAATCTGCCATGGGGGCTCCAGTCTAAACTGGTATAATTGCCTAACTGGAGTCTATGGGTTTGTTTCCCCTGACAGACTTCCCAGCTAAAGAGGAATCCATTATTTCCTGGCTTTGTTCTTTAGCACAGGAAGGAATGTTTGGGAAAGCAGCATGGATTACATTGTCTGGTTTGAGGGCTACCTGCCACTAAGAATCTTAAGGTATCTCCGTTACCATAATGTAGCCGTACATTACCATAATGTAACCGTTTTGGAGCAGGTACACAGTAGGGGTTAGAACCTTTATAACTTACACATAGTGGGAGGATAGTGGAGTGATATGTAGTGTTATCTGGCACTTTAGTCCAATGTGTGCCATTATTGAGGGACCCCAGTGGGGGCAAATCTATCCCTCCTAGCCAAGCAGTTGTACTGTTAGAAGCTGAAAAAGGGGATGTTTGTTTAAGCAACAGGGCAGAAAAAAAGCAGATTTAGAGGATGGTCTCAATAGACTGTGGCAGATACAGGTTGTAGGCAAAGTGAGAGAATAAAAAATAAATTACCTGGAGTGAATGGTGTCTGTGTCCAGAGCAGGATTTACCCCAGCCTCCTGAATTTTCCCCTTCAGCATTCCCCAGGTGACGTCCAGGGCGTTTGTGGTCCTGTAGGGCACTCCTTAGGCTGACTCAAGTGTTTTCTTCATTCCATCGTTCGATCAGGATGCTTTCCAGGCTGATGCTGGTGTACTGGAAATGCTATGGTTGTGGCTGTGCTAAGAGACCTTTTATAATCTTTGTAAAAGAGCAGGTTAGTACTTTAAGAAAAACTTGTTGTGTTTATATTTTAATCCAGCTTACAGAAAAACTGAATGATACTTCTTTAACTTTAGCTAATATGTTTACACATAGAATTTATTTTACAATTAACGATTGTAAAACTTCATTAGACCTTTAAAACAAAAACCATACATTTCTTGCATAAAATTCCTTGCTATGACATTGTTTACGACTCTCACAATCTCCAACATGCCTCACCTTTGTTTTTCTTTCTCTTTCTTTCTTTACCTCTCCTTTTCTCTTTGCATCCCTATCTTTTTCTCCCTCTTTCTCTCTCTCTTTCTTTTTACACTATCTTTTTCCTTAGCTTCATTTCCTGTGTCTATCTCTAATCTCTGTCTCTTCTGGTCTCTCTCTTGCTCATTCTTTCCTTCTGTTTCTCTCTACAACCTTTCTCTTTCTGTCTTGAGAGGTTTTAGCAAAGTGCTTTTCCTACAGTTGATTGTGATTTGTCATCCAAATTTGAAAAATTAAGCATAAATATGGCTTGTGTCAATAGTGTGGCCTTTTGAGATAGAGAACAGGTTTTGCAACTTATCAGTCAATGAGGAAATTCTTTTCTACTGAGGAGCAAAGCTGTATGGCTGGCTTTTAATTATTCTTTAATTCATGGGCTTACTGTTATTTCTCTCCTTCAGAAACTATTGTTTTACTCTAATAGGATTTTGAGATAGCCATTTTAAAGGGTAGGGTTGGAATAACAACAGTGGCCATTATCAGAACAAGGTCTTACAAGTTCTCAAATTTTACTCAAATCTTAGCAGAGCTTAGTGTTACCATACGATGCACAATCCCTCTTCTGGGTATTTATCCATAAGAATTAAAATCAGGATTTCAAAGAGATATTTGCACATTTGTATTCATAACAGCACTATTAAGAAAGTTAAGCCCTCAAAACAATCCCAGCATTATTAAGGAATGAACAGATAGACACTATGTGGCTTATGCTACAATGTGGATGAAACTTGATGTAGTTAGGCTAGATGAATAAATCATAAAAAGACAAACTGTAATTCCTTTTATAGAAGGTATCTAGCCAAATTCATTAAAAAGAAAAGTAGAATGGTGACTACCACATGAAAAGGCATCATAAAATGAAAAGTTGTTGTTTATAGCAGAGAGTTTTAACTTTACAAGAAGAAAACGTTTTGGAGATTGGTTGCATAAGATTGTGTATCTAGTAGTGCTATGTGCACACTTAGAAGTGGTTAAGATGGAAAATTTCATATTATGTATGTTTTATAATAGCTTCTACTCCAACAATTCCAGCTAATATTTGATATTCCATCCTTAGTTGCTTGCAGCGTTCTTTTCAATAGTGTTTGCTGTGTTAATGCTCTTTTGTGATAGAGCAAATTCTTTCTTCATAGGAAATGGACATTTTCTCAGAGCTCTGGAGAAAATAGCATTGCAGCGTTTCATCTGGGATTGATGGTCAGGAACATCACAGAAGAAAAGGTTGATGTGACTGCATCAGCCCTTGCCCAGTTCCCACAAAAGTTTAAAGTGCCATAATGGTGGAAAACTAAAAGAATATTATATTATGTAAAGAGTTAAAGGGTGAAAATTTCCTGCCTGAAAAGTTAACTTTTAGGATAATTTACCTCAGATGTCAGTTTAAAAACAACAGACATGACAGAAGATAAAATAGCACAAAGAGTGTTTTTGATTAATAATACTTTGGCATTATTTTCTCTGATTTTGATCAGAGAAAAATCCATAATGAGGAGGTGCAGTGTGGCATTTCGGTATTATCATGATAGTGGAGGTAGGTAACAGATAGCACTAAATTCTGCTCTGCCATTTGGTTCTATTCCTTACAGAATTCCTGAGGACACTGTATACACTACAAATGTTATAAGAAATGCATTATATTTTATGGGTAACTTCAGTAGAATGTAACAATAACTAGATATTGAAAAAAATCTGAAACGTATCATGGAGTTCAGGCTTCCCATGTAATCTGGGTCTCTTTCCCTAATTTTGAAATAGGCATATTTGTTGTGTTGGTTAGAAGGCTATTCAGAGAAAGGAAGCCCAAACTCACCCACTCTGAGTCTAGACATCCACTTAGCCAAGTAAATTTAGAGAAATAGAAAAACCAAACTGCCTGGGTGGACTGGACTTTGCCAATGTCCAAAAGGAGGATGTAACAGAAAGGAGGGAGATCAGATCTTGCCCTTAAGGTACATAGAATCTCACTCACTCTGCAGCCCAAACTGAAATACAGTGGAGTGATCTTGACTCACTGCAATGTACACCTCCTGGGTTCATGTGATTCTCCTGCCTCTGCCTCCTGAGTAGCTGGGATTACATGTGTGTTCCACCATGCATGGCTAATTTTTGTATTTTTAGTAAAGATGTTGTTTTCCAATATTGGCCAGGCTTATCTTGAACTCATTACCTCATGTGATTCATTCTCAACCTCCCACAGTGCTGGGATTACAGGCATGAGCCACCTATATAGCCCGGCCTATAGCAGACCCTATTAATCACTACTGTCAACGTTTTAGAGTGTACCATCAAAGAGTTAACAGCAGAACAAAATTTAGCATCATCACAATTTTTTTCAACAGCTCTATTATTTATAAACTGCCAATTAGTATTTTTACATATAAATCATTTCCGGTGGTAGCAATTGTGATAATATCCTGGATATATGTAAAAAATATCACTTGAAATATTTTCTTGGAAGAAGTGTTTAATAATTTGTCATCAGAAACAAATTATATGTACTTTCTAAATAGATTAATGTATTTCTCATACACAGATAATCCCATAGATTTGCTTTTTTTATAAATTCTTAAATATCAGACTCTAACTTATGGAACAAGTGAATATAAATAAACTCCCTCCCATTTCATTGTTTTTCAAATGAAAAGCTTACTATTATATTTGTAAGATTAATGTGAATATAGTAAATACATTTGTAAAAAGGCAGAGACTATTAGTAATTTTTTACTCTCATTTATGCTAGAATTATGTCTGCCTAACAATTATGTAAATATTTAAATTTTTCATTTATTATCACAATTGTCTAAGTCATTACATATGAAACATCATGGTTGCATTTAGCCTGACAACATAAAAATTAGACAAGATAATATAGTTGTTCTATTTCTTCAGTCTCCTAGCAGTTCTCATTATTTAACCTGCCTTGTTCTCATTTCCTTATTAGCTGTATGGAAGACATTTCACTAGTTGATCTCAATCTTTTTAGAATCCTAACAAACATGCTATAATTTGAATTTTATTCATAGAACAAGGAACTTCATTTTTTAAAGCTTTTAAGTTCATGGGTACATGATTAAGATTTGTTAAGATTTGTTGCATGTGTAAACTTGTGTCATGGGGGTTTGTTTTCCAGATTATTTCATCACCCAGGCATTAAGCTTAGTACCCATTACTGTAGTTAGTTTTTCTAATCCTCTTCCTCATCTCACCCTCCAACCTTTGAAAGGTCCCAGTGTGTATTGTTGCCCTCTATGTGTCCATGTGTTCTTATCGTTAGGCTCCCTTATCTACATATTTCTATGGAAATTTGATGACAGGAAATCAGATACTTTAGTACCAATACTCAACTACATAATCGGTAGTCAACAATGACCTTTCAGGTAAGACTTTGAGGAACAAATATTGAAAACTTAGGAAACACCATATGAGGATGAAAATGATTCAACAGAAAACAAACCATGAGAAATGATTCACATTTTATTATTTAAAAACTCAAAAATATTTGCATTTCTCTGATGACCAGTGATGATGAGCATTTTTTCATATGTTTGTTGGCCTCACGTATGTCTTCTTTTGAGAAGTGTCTGTTCATATCCTTTGCCCACTTTTGAATGGGCTTGTTAGTTTTTTTCTTGTAAATCTGCTTTAGTTCTTTGTAAATTACGGATATCAGCCCTTTGTCAGATGGGTAAACTGCAAAAATTTTTTCCCAATCTGTTGGTTGCCGATTCACTCTAATGATTGTTTCTTTTGCTGTGCAGAAGCTGTGGAGTTTGATTAGGTCCCATTTGTCTATTTTGGCTTTTGTTGTCAATGCGTTTGGCGTTTTGGTCATGAAGTCCTTGCCTACACCTACGTCCTGAATGGTTTTGCCTAGATTTTCTTCTAGGGTTTTTATGGTGTTAGGTCTTATGTTTAAGTCTTTAATCCATCTGGAGTTAAATTTAGTGTAAGGTGTCAGGAAGGGGTCCAGTTTCTGCTTTCTGCACATGGCTAAAATGCAAATCAAAACTACACTGAGATACCATCTCACGCCGGTTAGAATGGCGATCATTAAAAAATCTGGAGACAACAGATGCTGGAGAGGATGTGGAGAAATAGGAACACTTTTGCACTGTTGGTGGGAGTGTAAATTAGTGCAACCATTGTGGAAGACAGTGTGGCGATTCCTCAAGGACCTAGAAATAGATATTCCATTTGACCCAGCAATCCCATTACTGGGTATATATCCAAAGGATTACAAGTCGTTCTACTATAAGGACACGTGTACACGAATGTTCATTGCAGCACTGTTTACAATAGCAAAGACCTGGAACCAACCCAAATGCCCATCGACGATAGACTGGATAGGGAAAATGTGGCACATATACACCATGGAATATTATGCAGCCATCAGAAACGATGAGTTTGGGTCCTTTGTAGGGACATGGATGAACCTGGAAACCATCATTCTCAGCAAACTGACAGAAGAGCAGAAGATCAAACACCGCATGTTCTCACTCATAGGCGGGTGTTGAACAATGAGAACACATGGACACAGGGAGGGGAGCACTACACACTGGGGTCAGTTGGGGGGAAATAGGGGAGGGAGGGTGGGGGGTGGGAAGCTGGGGAGAGATAGCAAGGGGAGAAATGCCAGATGTAGGTGATGGGGAGGAAGGCAGCAAATCACACTGCCACGTGTGTTCCTATGCAACAATTTTGCATGTTCTTCACATGTACCCCAAAATGTAAAATGCAATAAAATAAATAAATGGGAAAAAAAAAAAAACTCAAAAATAAAATTTAACTTCTTTACATTTATCTTCCAGTCATGGAGAAAATAAAGTAAACTACAAGGGGTTGGCATTTTATTATACACAGTCACATTCTTTATGGCTAGAAACAAACTATCTTTAGTTCAAATGTAGTTACCTTTCAAAAAAAAATCAATAATTTCCTGTGTTGTCTGTCTCCTAATTTGATCATTACACCTACTCTTTCTCTTAATGCATAGATATTGCAAATGCAACTGAAAAATGACAGCTTTTCTTTCATTACCAGCTGCCTCATTTTCTATGGGAATAAATCCCCAGTCTTTATCATGGAATGCTGGTAACACATTTTATGATGGAGTGTGACCTGTCCTTCCTCTATTCAAGTACCACCACCACCGCACTCCCTGCTGCCCTGGATACTGTGCCCTATCATACTCAGTGACTGCACCATTTCTCTAAGAGAACATGTTCTGGCATGTATCCTACTTTTTTGGGGAGGGTGGTGATGGGAAGTAGGTGATATGCAGTTATCTTTACCAACAGTGTGCGCTACTTGTCCATGTGACAATCTTATTTTAATTCTTTAAGTCTCAAGTCAAGTACCACTTCTTAATATGTAGCTTTTACTTATTGCCCCAGAGGACTTGATGTTTCTTCCTCAGTGATCTGAAAGAGATTTTAATGCAGTTTTAGTGTTACAGTAATTTGTCATCTAGAGAACACTGCCCATTTCATTGCCTCATATTGTGCATTGCTCATTTTATTTCTAAGACTTACAATGCAAAATTTTTCAAAAAATCTTAGGTCATCCCCAAACCAAAGTTTCTCTAACTCATGATAGAGCCAATGGAATTTATGAGAGAATCTACCATGGAATCCCTATGGTGGGCCTTCCTTTATTAGCAGATCAACCTGATAATTTGCTTACACAAAGGCTAAGGAGGAAACTGTTAGATTGGACTCAAAAACGTTGCAAATTACAAATTCGCTCAATGCATTAAAGGCAGTCACTAATGACCCTACATGAATGAAAACTTGTTTAGCCACATAGCATGTATTCATAATTTCTTACATGAAAGCCCAGGGAGCAGCAGTGACTCTGAACATGAGCACAATGCTGAGTATATATATGATTTGTAATGCTTAAAGGCCATGATTAATACACCATTGTATCAAAATGTTTTTTGTTGCTGTTGTTGTTTCAGTGAAAAACATTTGACAGAGATTTTAGAATCATGCATAAGTTCTAAAATAGCCAAAATTAAAATAAAAGGAACTGCTAAAGATGGTAACAGAAGGGTTATAAAGAAAATTGATAACACAGTTGAAGCAGGGAACCATAAATATTATTACAATACTGACTAATTTTCAGCACATTTATGTGGCCTTTCAGCATGAAAGCTCAGCAAATGTTCATTTAAAAATTTTTTAATATATATATATATTTTTCCCCATTTATTTATTTTATTGCATTTTAGGTTTTGGGGTACATGTGAAGAACATGTAAAATTGTTGCATAGGAACACACGTGGCAGTGTGATTTGCTGC